ACCCATTCCCCAATTGTGTAACTGTATATTCTCAGCCTTCCGGATGCCATGCTCTTTCAATAAACCGTCAATTGTTATTATTATCACTCTCACACACACACAATAATAATCTGAACCCGAAGAGATTCAGACTCGTGAACCTGAAGCAGTAGACCGATACATTACTCTGGACCATAAATGATTCGGGTTCATGAGTCTGAATCTCTCGGGGTTCAGGTTCAGAGAGGGGGGGGGGACCAAGACGGTGAGAGCTGTAGAGACCTCCTGACGTAGGCTACACCGTGTACAAGACCACGCCCTTCCGCTCACCTCTCACCCCTCCAGTCACACCTCTCCACCCTCCAGTTACCCCTCCTGTCACACCACCTCTATATAGCGGACTTTCACCCCCCAGTAGTCCGTTAAATAGAGGTTTTCATTGTATCATCACTAATTCCCCAAAATGGCAACGAAATACACAGTCCCTTACGGAGTGTGTGTGTGTGTGTGTGTGTGTGTACGGTGATCCTGAGCGAGAGACAGAATCTTCAGACAGTGGAGGAGGGAGGTGATAACGCCCCCCCCCCGCCCCTGGGTCTCCTAAAGGTGGCGGTATCTACAGTCAACTACTACAGGACGTTCACCTCTCCTCCTGAACCCTAAGAGATTCAGACTCGTGAACCTGAAACTTTAGACTCATACATTACTCTGGACCATAAATGATTCGGATTCATGGGTCTGAATCTCTCTCGGCGGGGGGCGGGGGATGCAGGCAGACTATGAACTCCCCCACTTGGCCCCGCCCCCCGAGAACTGCCGTTACTTCAGGGAAAAAACCGGATTCTGGAGAAGAAACTCACATCGGGGACGGAAATTGCAAACACTCTCAGGTTGTGTTATGTTGTGGTTGTGTTATGATATGATATGGTTTTGTTAGGTTATGTTATGGTTGTGTTAGGTTATGTTATGGTTGTGTTAGGTTATGTTATGGTTGTGTTAGGTTAAGTTATTTCACACCAAAAATAGGCGACCACCAAACGCAATAAATCATCAACAACAACAAAATCACCCATAAAAAGAAATATATCGAGACACAGCTGGAGGTGTAGTGAGGTAACCCCCCCCACCCCCCCCAAGTTGTGTCCAGGGAGGCAGTATGTTCCAGTTTTTCTCTCTCCTTCCAGCAAGTAGAGCGAGTGTGTGGCTGATTCATCTCTCTCTCATCTGCCTCTCGTTCTATTTCATATATCTCTCTCTCTCTCATCTGTCTCGTTCTATTTCATCTCTCTCTCTCTCTCTCTCTCAGCGCCGGGGGCAGTATAGGTATATAACTGTACAGATCCTGAGAGCCGTCCGGTAAACCCTTGTGACCTGACTGTGTGTGTCTGACCATGTAAGAGAGAAGGTTAAACTGACTCACTGTACCGGTCAGTCAGCCAACCAGACACTGTGTGCTGTGCTGGGCCTGCGATGAGCATAAACCTAACCTAACCTCACCCAACAGGCTAAAGCATCTTAATCTGCACTCCCTCGAGAGACGTAGAGTGAGGGGCGACATGATAGAGGTGTATAAATGGAAGTCAGGGCTAAACAAAGGGGACATTACAAAGGTACTCAAACTATCCACCCAGGAGCGAACTCGTAACAATGGTTTTAAATTAGACAAATTTTGATTTAGGCGCGAGGTAGGTAAACACTGGTTTGTAAATAGAGTAGTGGACGAGTGGAACAAGTTACCAAACATCACCATTAACTCTAATACGCCGGATAGCTTCAAACATACTGTAGGGTGGATGGATATATGAGCAATAGGGGTTGGGTGTAAACGGGACTGACCAGTATGACCCGCTGTAGTTTACTCCATTCTTATGTTCTGTCAAGCGCCATAGTTCGAACCCCTCCCCCGCTTAGGCCTAACCAACGCTATCGAGGAAGGTCACACACACGAAGGTCTTGACCCAACACATCAGGCTTCATTAGGCTAATTAACGTGATCAACATGCAGTCTCCACCACACACCTGAGAGACGGTCCTAACATGATAATTAGTGAGTATTGATCCCTTCTCAGGTACCGTTCGTCAGGTATCGTTCCTTAATTATCGTTGGACCAAGTCATTTGCACTGACACACACACATACACACACTTAGCAACCTCCAGTGTCTTTAAAAGGTGTGTGGGGAGGAGAGCAGGTGAGAAGGACGAGGCGGGTTAATCAACCAGAGATCCGCTCCAACCGTGAACCACCATCATGACTGCCTCCACACACTTAATCAGCTATGTTTCGGGCCATTATCACTCCTTTATCTATCTAACTATCTATGAGAGACAGACCAGCCACGCCCACAGTCATTCGAACCACGCCCACATCATTCGAACCACGCCCACAGTATTACCGGGATGACCTCTATACTCGGGGAAGTCAGCCGAGGTCAATGAGTGGGAGGAGCACCAATCACGACTCACTATGTAAGGTCACACACACTGGGGGGTCGTTACTAAGTGTGGCTGATTGACTCATTAACAGGTTCAACTACCCACCCAATCAAGAAGAAGAGGAGGAGGAAGAATGTAACCAGAAGATGTACTAAAGATCAGGTTCGCTGGTCACACTAGAGTAAGGCTTCTCTACCACACGTCACAACCCACTACCTCACCTCCCTCACCGACGACCTCTCTGGGTAACGTCAATAATAATAATAAAAATAATAAATAAATAACTATTCTCAACCTACAAAAGTTCAATAATTCAGATAATTTGTTGATAAGAGCACAGCAGGTCACGTCAATAAGATGAACATTAATATTAAGGGGTGTACAAAGGTTAATGTTGTTCCTTTAACTGTGAGAGAGACGGCCGTGTATGGTTAAAGGTGCGTTTGTCTAAGGGGGGGGGGGTTATATATAAGACGGACCTAACCTAACCTAACTCACACCATCTCTTGACTGTGGGGCATCTAGTGACCTTCGCCCACAGGTTCAAGGCTCATCTCTCACACTCACTCTTCATCTTGCTCGAGGTTTCACTTGGAGGAGATTTTGCAACTTGTTCTGAAATAACACACCGAACCTGAATGGGTGGCGAAATCTGGGGCATGAGGGCGAAATCTGGGGCCTATGAACGAAATCTGTAGGAGAGTTGAAGAGGGGGAGTAGGGAGGAGGGTAGAGAATGAGGGGAAGGAGGAAGGGTGGGAGAGGAGATAGGGAGATAGGTATTATCGCCCTACAGGTGTTATCAGCTCGGGGTGTGACCAACTGATAATGTCTCTCTGTTGGTCATCTTAATTCTCTTATCACCACACACACCCACCTTCACGCCCACCACCACCATCACTATTACCACCACTACCACCATCATCATCGCCACCACAACTATCACCACCATTAATACATCTTGCATCACCACCACCACCACCAAGGAGGGAGAGAGAGAGAGAGAGACTCACTAGCCACAGCACAACACAGACAGACAGACACTCAACCACGACCACCCCTATACCCTCCAACACACTGAGCCACCTGCCCCCCCTCAGACCACCCTGCCCCCCCTCACACAACCACGACCACCCTGCCCCCCCCCCTCACCCAACCACGACCACCCTGCCACACAACCACACCTGACGGCGCGTGTGTGCTGAAGCCGTATGAGTGTATGACGGTCCAGGGCGTCGTGAAGGACTTGAGTGACACTTGAAGTATCGTCAAGTTATATTCTGTACTTTTGGTCTCGTCCTTAAGTCACAACAAACGACAGATTATATTATTTTATACAGTTAACTACTAAAGTCTGTCCGTGTCTGGAGGTCTTTCTATCAATCAATTTCTCTCTCCCTCCATCAAAGGCCTCAGTTTTATGCATTACCTCAGGACAAAAACTTAAGACACACTTCAACACCTTTACCTGTGAGAGAGAGAGAGTGAGTAACGGGGAGGTGGGTCAGGTAGCACTAACTGTTCCACCCGCCACAACACTAACCTCTGCCACATGTCGTTCCTCTCATTACCACCATCTGCCACCCCTCCAGGCTATCAGTACAACCATCCACCACTATCTACCACCATTCATTACTACTACTACTACCACCACCATCCACCACGAACCATCATCATTATCGTCATCACTTTGGACAGCGTGTAGAGAGTGACAGACAGACACACACAGGAGCTATTAACTGCTGTCAGAAAAACACTGGCCTACACACTACGTGGCGGGCGACAGCTGCTCCTCACGCTGTCAACCACGTCACCACCACACCTAGGGGGGGGGGGGAGATAAGTGGAACACGCACACTATTTGAATCACAAGGTGGAACACACTAGGTGGAAAATTAGCTAAGATACACTAGGTGGAACATTTATTTAAAACACACAAGGTGGAATACATTAGGTAGAGCATGAGCCAAGACACACTAGGTGGGGTGGGAAGGCAGGTTAGGTCACTTGAGTTACGAAAGCACTTTTACCTGCACACGGGACCTGAGTGACCAAGGCTGAGGTGGGTGAGTGCACTGTATACCCCGCCCTCACTGGTCCTGGGGGCAATCCCGGTCTATGTAATCCGCTAAAGTTTTTTCTTGCATACATTTAACGGACCCTTGATATAACGGACCTTCATCTGTCTTTCGTTAGATTGAAGTTTCACATCAAATGGACTCTCGATATAACGGACTTTATCTCTATCTATACAGTACAGTCCTAAGCTAACCCTAACTATTATACACCACTGGAGGTAACTGTACATTAATTCCAGTTACTCTCACCACACACAGTAAATCTCCCGAGTTACAGGTTGTATTGTAAATATATCTGAGGTAAACACGAAACACTTCTTTTACCAAGGATCACTTCACAGTTTGGTAAATTGTAAATCTATCACACGAGATGTAGAACTGTGCCCACTACTCCCCTGTCTGTGGAAATCTTAAACCCCAGCTAGCCAGGTTGGGTTGGTTAGGTTAGGTTATCATCTTGCAGTCCACGGTAGAACAATATAAAGGTTTAAAAGATATTATTGACTCACCGGTTTACAGTAGCAGGCGGCGGTGACTCTTATGTCCACAGGTGAACCCTCCCACCACAGTCCTCCTCCAGGCCGGTGAGGAACTAACACTACCTTATCCTCCACACAAGAGCACCACCACTACTGTTGCCACTAGACCTCCACCACCACAACACACTTGAGGTGCACGTTGACGAGGATGACGTGACACACACATACAGATTTTAGTTACGACTGGACAGGGTGAAGCAGCGTAGACCACACACACGCACACCCTCCCGCGCCCACCACCACACAGTATGTGACGACCGCTTCTGCTGGCTGGTGTTGCAGCGTTGCCAAAGTACCGCTCACTCCATTACCACACGTTTTCTTTATAAGCAGAAGTGATTAAGAGGAAATGGGTTGACTTAGGTAACTATTTGTGTTTGGTATAGTTGTAAGATAAAACAAGTTAGATACACATTATTATTTATTATTACAATACATAAAACGTACAGTTAATGATATCAGATATATAATAATACATTTGTACAACTGAAAATAAATCTATACTGTAAAAAATGAATTAGTCGTCATGGATCAGACTGTGCTGTTTGACGGATCTTATAATATCCTGCGAGGTTGACATTTCACACTTCCTCATCTGGCCTTTACTGCCTCAGATACATGAACCAAAGCTGCCTGCGTGTGTTGAATTGTGTAGTTTGTTTCTTCGATTAGTTTTAACGAGACCCACTTTTGAAAATAACCTCTCCGCGTCTGCATTAGAAGTTGGAAGGGCCAGCCAACAGATCAGGGACAAATTGTGGCAATGCGGAAATTGGTGGTTCATCATCCTCATTTTTCAGTTTACGTAATCCTATGAAAAATGCTTCGGTGTTGTTTGATATCATCTGGGAGAGACATGTTGTGCGGCCATTCATCACCACGTGCCTGGAGATTCCCCGTTATAAATTCGTGGTACTTCCATGGCTCAGCTCACGAGAGATGGGGTTACCGAAAGGAAATCTGGCCATCATTTGTTGACAGGCTGTTATGAGAAATAATCGACAGCTTGATCTGACATCTTTCAGTAGATCTTTATTGCCTGCACACCAGCCCCAAGATATAGTTGGTCATCTGGGAGGTGGTCCTCTACTTTGTTGGGCTCAATTGAATTTATCATGTCTATTTAGGGCGGTCTTGTCTATAACATCATCTCAAGACATCAAGGTACAGGTTCTTTGAAGTAACATGTAAGAGGTGAATGGTTGGTTCTGTCTTCTGAAAAAGTTTGTTAAATTTATTGAACTTTGGAAGAATAAAATTAAAAACGAAAATAGAAATGAATTGAAGGGTCTTTAAGGCCATCAAGAATAAGTTTAATTGAGGTCAGCTTGTCCTTCTGATATTTGTCCCGAAAGTACAGTTGTAGTGGCTGTCATTGCTCTAGCGAAGATGCCATGTAGTGACAGCCATCTGGTTTATGCGACGTGCAATATTTTATGGGGCTTTACGTCACAGAAATCTTGAAACTGCTGAAATTCGCTTTTGCTCTTTGCACTTTGGTTGAAGTAAATGTTTCGTACTAAGTCTTCACACATTATGTTGTAGCTGCCTGTGACGCACATAGGTGGACGGAATGACAGATACAACGAAATACTGTGATATTTGGTGCAGTAATATTTCTGTTGTGCATATGCGAGATTTTACGCAGTTTGAGAGTTGATATTTCGGCAAACAAATCTGTACGGCATAGACAGCGGTGTGCTCTATTGGGGTCGTCGTCCTGACCCAATCCTAGAAACTCCTCACAGTGAAGCCACGCAGCCCTAAATGTTCGCTTTGGCGGCATTGTTCATCAAGTTTTCTGCAAACTAAAGTAAATGGGTTAAAAGAGGAACTGAGGGAGAGGGAGGAGGAGATATAATGAACAATTATATTCAATATATACTGTACAATATATTGACAATGAGAACCAATACATGTTGCTTATAACTTACCTTTTGGCTTCCTGTATGTTAAGTCTTTAACCTTGGCCAAATAGATTGGATTGACCTTACGGGTAACTCAGAATCAGAGGATTTTTTGAAACGATCCAGGACTGTTTCCTAAGTCAACGTATAACCGAACCCACCCGGGGTAATAATATACTCGACTTAGTTCTGTCGAACAGAGAAAACCTCATTAGTAATGTCGAGGTAGGGAACGAACTTGCAAACAGCGATCACCACCAGCTGCTGCCTCCTCCTACATCCTGAGGTAAAGCAGACACAGGAACCCCCCCCCCCCTCACCACCCCCTCTACTGTTTACAACACATAAGAACATAAGAATGGAGGAAACTGCCCAGACTGGTCAGTCCCGTTTACACCCAGCCCCTATCGCTCATATAACCATCCACCCTACTGTATGTTTGAAGCTATCCAGCGTATTAGAGTTAATGGTGATGTTTGGTAACTTGTTCCACTCGTCCACTACTCTATTTACAACCAGTGTTTACCTATTTCGCGCCTAAATCTAAATTTGTCTAATTTAAAACCATTGTTACGAGTTCGCTCCTGGTTGGATAGTTTAAGTACCTTTGTTATATCACCTTTGTTTAGCCCTGACTTCCATTTATACACCTCTATCATGTCGCCCCTCACTCTACGTCTCTCGAGGGAGTGCAAATTAAGATGCTTTAACCTGTCTCTATACTCAAGGTTCCTTATGCCCTGTAATACAGTGTCAGGAGTTCTAACTTGTCGTCACGTCAGGGGTGGAAGACACGCACAGAAGGAGGAGGAGGAGAGTGTGTGTCCTACCATACGCCTCACCACCCAGGACACAGTACAGTACATGACGGTACACCAGTCCTTCACACACAACTCTCTCCAGTGAGTGAGAGAGAGAGAGAGAGAGAGAGAGAGAGAGAGAGAGAGAGAGAGATAAATTCACCATAGCATTTAGTAGAGATTGACCCATCAGTCAACCAATCATCTGGACACACCAGCTAACAGTGTGGTCGACAAGTTCACCCGCCAGAAGTAACTGAAGGGTTGTTCTATAGAGATTTAATCATGCATTGTGGGTGAGGACAGACCGTGGGGTGAGGACTGCTTATCTCCATAGCAGCAGCCGTACGCACAATGAAGTAGATAAGCCCGGCCCAGTGACACGAGGAAGATGTCTCTCTCTCTCTCTCAGGCTAGGAAGGTGTCATCATAGCATCATCACCACCACCATCACACCACACACACACACTACATCCTTGACCACCGAAGGGTCAAGACGTACCTGGCACTCCTCTCGGAGCAGCCAGGTCAACTGTTAAGTTGGCCCATACCAACCCCCTCCCCTGAACCCTCCTCCCCACCGGAATATCAACAAGTTCTCGCCAGAAGTTACAATTTCATTTAGGAAAGGAACGGAACCTGTGTTAAACAGAGGTGAACAGTGGTGAACAGTGCTTAAGTCAGTGAGAACAACTCAACAGTAACAGTCGTACCCAAGTTAACCTTCACACAGTGAGGTCCCAGGTACCCAGCGATAACGGCCCGTGAGACCCAACAACAACCAGCGATGTGTTAATCCGTCTACGATAGGAAGACCTAAGACCACACCTCACTCATATAACACCATCTGTGAGGGAATTACTACACCACGTCAGGTCCCTCATAACACCATCTGTGAGGGAATTACTACACCACGTGAGGTCCCTCATAACACCATCTGTGAGGTAATTACTACACCACGTGAGATCCCTCATAACACCATCTGTGAGGTAATTACTACACCACGTGAGGCCCCCTCATAACACCATCTGTGAGGGAATTACTACACCACGTGAGGCCCCTCATAACACCATCTGCGAGGGAATTACTAAACCACGCCAGGTCCCTCATAACACCATCTGAGGGAACTACTACACCACGTGAGTTCCTCCTAACACCATCTGGGAGGGAGTTACTACACTACAAGTTTGCTGTTCAACACCTACATTAATCTGTATGTTCACTGTATGTTCCTTTACCTTTCTCTAATGAAGGCTTTTGTTAAACCACCAATGTATGTAATAAGTCATTTATGTCCAATGTATATTTTCAGCCTTCGGGCTGCAGAATTTTTTTCAATAAACCGTTAATTATTATTATTATTATTACAAGTACAAACAGGCACTAGTCGATCCCTTGTTTACCCTGATGAGATGTATCAAGTAAAACATGTGTATGGAGCAAGTAACAAGATCACTAGATGTTGTAACTGATAGACTAAGGTTAGGATATAAGTACCTCTGGCAGTATGTTCCTCAAGCAGAAGTGAACAAGACTAAGTGTGTGGCCAGACATATGGCCACACACTCCAACACTAGGTCCTCGAGTGTGTGGCCAGACATATGGCCACACACTCCAACACTAGGTCCTCGAGTGTGTCATGATAGAACCCTTTAGGGACAGGTCCAAGCTCACTGTGGGTGAAATGGCACAACACTTTATCTCTAATGGCAAGATGGCCGACATATTAAGATTGTATCCACTGTTTTACACTCAGTAGCTATATCAGTTCCCCTGTATGGAACCAAACACAATGTGCTTGATACTTCTCACGCAGGTGTTAACAAGTTACCCTTTATGTATAGAACTAAACAAATAATGTCATAATATCCTGACAACGGGGGTTAGTTATACTGACCCTTTGTAAACTCTACTCTGTAATCCTTTTGCACTACCGCTCACAGGTTGAGTATGGGGTGCACAATAAACTAGCCGCTGTAAGTGGTAAAAAAAAACTCACACCACCACACCTCCCTCCACCCCCACAGATCAATGGTCGACTCACCAAAGGTCACCCAGAAGGTAGAGGCAGGTCACGCCGTCCTCCAAGTGAACCTGTAGACCAGATTAAATAATAGAAACCCAACTGTCTCCAAGTGGACCCAACCTTCCCGGCTGTCTTCCTGACCTGACCCAACCTAAACTAACCCTGATAAATTTTCCTCCTCTCCTGCTCCCCCGCCCCTTCCTTCTTACCCCCTCTTCTTTCCTTCTACCTCCTCCTCCTTCCTCTTTACCTCTTCCTACCACTACACTCGGGTCATAATACATCTTAACAACAAAGATACAAAATAAATGTACTGTACCTCGTGTTGCGGGTTCCCCTTTAACTGAGGAGACAAATAAATACATAAATATAAACACAACATCTATAACCACGAACAGTCAATATAAACACAACATCTATAACCACGAACAGTAAATATAAACACAACATCTATAACCACGAACAGTCAATATAAACACAACATCTATAACCACGAACAGTCAATATAAACACAAC